GATCATTGGACTGGTTTTAAGACTGTGTATTTGTGATTGTGATATGTTATTATTGATAACCATGATGCATATCTTAATGCAATTGTTTGATTCTATGAGTGTTTGATCCCTGGCTTCTGGGTCTGAAATGGTTATGGTTGGATATGTTCAGTGATCATCGATTTTTAAGCCCCAGGGTAACCATCATAGACCCTCAATGGTGGGTACCTGGTGGTACTTGATTGTAGTTGGCAGCCCAAATAAGATATGAATTGGAAAAGGGCTCCAGATTATTGGACTGGTTTTAAGACTGTGTATTTGTGATTGTGATATGTTATTATTGATAACCATGATGCATATTTTAATGCAATTGTTTGATTCTATGAGTGTTTGATCACAGGCTTCTGGGTCTGAAATGGTTATGGTTGGATATGTTCAGTGATCATCGATTTTTAAGCCCCAGAGTAACCATTATAGACCCTCAATGGTGGGTACCTGGTGGTACTTGATTGTATTTGGCAACCAAAATAAGATATGAATTGGAAAAGGGCTCCAGATCATTGGACTGGTTTTAAGACTGTGTATTTGTGATTGTGATATGTTATTATTGATAACCATGATGCATATTTTAATGCAATTGTTTGATTCTATGAGTGTTTGATCACAGGCTTCTGGGTCTGAAATGGTTATGGTTGGGTATGTTCAGTGATCATCGATTTTTAAGCCCCAGGGTAACCATTATAGACCCTTGATGGTGGGTACCTGGTGGTACCTGATTGTAGTTGGTAATCAAAATAAGATATGATTTGGAAAAAGGGTTATAGACCCCTTTGGGCCCCTTTGATCCCCTTTGGAAATCATGCATCTATTTGCTTCATGATGTGGCAGCCTTTGATGATGAAAGGGTCTGAAGTGGTATATCTGTGGGGTAGGCAGCAAATAGTGTCACTTCATCATTGGTATAACGATTTTAGACCTACATTGTTAGACATCTCTTCATATGAGAGGCCCAAGGTTTGCAAATTCAATCAAAGTCATGAATGTGCTGATGTGCCCATCGTTTGGTTTCCATGTGTCTTGTGTTTTGCAGATCTGCATTGATTATGCATGACCAGCCAGGAGGCATGCCTACACAGAATGGAACAGGAGAGTTGGGGGCGCTGTGCTGGGTTAATTTCACCCAATGTCACCCACTGATATCCAATGTTCATGTGTTTTTTTTGTGGACTGCGACGTTTCAGAACCTGGATAACTTATGTTGGAACACTGGGAACACACTGGTTGCGTGATAATGCTTGTTACCACTTGCTGAAGCTTGGCAATAGGTGATGACGTTTATTTGGTTTCTGTTTGCCGGGCCACTGGAAGGACTTGACAAACATGAATTTGCAGATGGAGCTGCCCAGCAAGACAGAAGGGAGTCTGCAGGACAGCAAACTTGTGATTTGCAATGATTTGTGCCACTGTTTCTCAACCAATTCCATTTGCAGGGCAGGATCTTGAAGCAAGGTCGAGAAAATCGATCCAGAGAGGCAGGGACAAGTTTGTTCTGTGCCTGCTGCAGGACACGCAGTCTGAGGTAACCGAGAGTAAGCTTGATTTGTCGATGATGAATCAATTTTACATATGGAACCGTATGATGGAACATCGTATCGTAACAGCAGAGCGGTGTGTATTTTTCCTTTGTTCTTTGCTGGATTGGGATCTGTTAGCTTGTCAAGAATGCTTTCGAGCCATACATTGGTGGCAGCTGGTGTGTACGTCATATGTGGTGGTTTCAAGTGGTTTCATTCTGATAATCATGGAAATCTGCTGGTTGTTGCCAGGACCTGCAACCCCACAGAAGACTTCCAAGCCGACAACGTGGACTGCGCTGGACGATCACTCGCGCGGGCTTGACTTGATAATTTTTCGACAAGACAATCCTTTACCAGACCAGGGACCCTTTCCAGAGACACCACAACGTCCAAAAAAAGGCCATGTTTTTTCGTCAAATGGAGCTGTTCATAGCTGTTCACCGTGTTCAAAACATAGTATTCAGATGTATTCAGATGTATTCAGGTTCTGTCCTGTCCGTGCTCTTCAGGGGTGCTTGCGCAAGATTTGGCAGATGAGAGCGGCTTAGCAGGTGCCACGGGTGTTCCACTCCTTGCGTTTTTTCACGATTTATCATCAGGATTCGTGATGTATCTGCATGTCCCTGATTACCACGGTGTATTGCAAGGTTTCTGGGTCTGAAATGGTCATGGTTGGATTTATTCACTTATCATCAAGTGTATGATCATAGTTTGGGGGTTTGAAATGGTAATGGTTGGATACATTAGGCTGCGTTGATTGACATTGTTGGCCGGCTGCAAAGCATTTCGGCACAAGTGTTGGGAGTTGTGGTGCTGTCGCATTTCTTGAAGTTTAGACGCGAAGATGTTTGGTGGCCATGCAGTGTTTCAGGCCCATCTCCCACCCATGGACAATCCATCCCTAGGACCTGCTCCAGGCAATCCAGCATCCAAGTGGAATGGCCCATCTACACCAGAATGGGTTTTTCCGCCAGTGCCTGGAAGAGGCGTGCCAGCTCCAGGCAATCCAGCTGTCAAATATGGCTGTCCTGAGACGCCCGAGTGGATGCTCAGGCTTTTGCCTCTCAGAATCCCGGTGGGAATGCAGCCGGTGATTGGAATGGGAGGTGTGGTGCAGCCTCCGGGTTCACCAAATGCTCCGCGCCACATGGAAGTCGTGGCTCCCCCATTTGCCCAGATGGAGCTTGATGTGGAAGTCATGGTGCCACAAGAGGATGAGTGGCTGCTCCCCCCTCCATTATTGGAGACTGATGACTTGCCTGTCATCGGCGCAGCTTGCGCAATCCCTATGGAAATTGATCTCATCGATCTTGTGACGCCGGAGCTGAGGCCAGCAGAAGTGCATCAAGAACAGCTTGACCGGGCAGTGACACCAGCCAAGAAACGGCGTGCTGAATTGCCAGGGCGTTCCGATTTTGAATGGCCTTGCAAAGCAAGGCGCACAAAGCACATGTGAAGCCAGAACATGCTGAAACTGTGTGTTTCTTTTCCATTGTTCTCGGAGGTGACATGTCATGCGGTGCGCATGTTTTTTGGGATGGCGCACTCATGAAATTAGGTGCAAAACATGCTAGTGGCAATGAGCTTTAGCATTGCCCGACGGCAGTCAGGCCATTTGGTTTGGGCTTGACACTGCCTGAAGATCATGTGAGCGGACTTGGCAGACGATAAAAGGGATGCTGTGAGCTTCAAAGTTTGTTGCTTTGGAACCACTTGACCTGGATGAATGAGGAATAATGAGAAGACTTAGTTTGGGATTAGGGTCTAAGATGGTATACCTTGAGTATATGTAATGAACAAGGTCATTTAATTATCCTGGCCGCCATTTTAGACCTCCACTATCAGACAATTTGAGAAATTTTGAGGGTCTTCATGTTCATGGACTCCTCTTCTCAGGAGCAAAGAAGCCCAAAGATGGAGATGCAGAAGGACAAGGATGCTTGGGGAGTTCTGAGATTGCAATTATAGACTTAGTTTGGGATTAGGGTCTAAGATGGTATACCTTGAGTATATGTAATGAACAAGGTCATTTAATTATCCTGGCCACCATTTTAGACCTCCATTGTTAGACAATTGGCCATGTGAGATGCACAGGGAATGACAGGAGAGGTGGAACGCCAAGCTTTGTTTCTTCATGTCCTGCGCATATGTTGATAAGTTTTGATAGATTTTGAGGGTCTTCATATTCATGGACTCCTCTTCTCAGGAGCAGAGATGCCCGAAGATGGAGATGCAGGAGAGAACCTGCTTGTGAGAACATGATGGTACTTAACCTGCTCTCTGGGTCTGAAATGGTAATGGTTGAATATATTCATCCATCATTGACTGTTTAGCCCCAAGGTAAACATTATAGACCTTAGATGGTGGGTACGTGATGGTACTTATTTGTGGACCAAGACATGAATGGAAATGAAGGGGAGGTCTGAGATTGCAATTCTTTGATTTAATCATCCATCATCGGCTTTTAAGCCCAAGGTCAACCATTATAGACCCCTTAGATGGTGGGTTCAAGATGGTATTTAATAACGGGTAAGGGGCAAAGGTCATGGACACTTGTTGTAAATTATCATGACGTGTCACCCTGTTTGTTTTTTTTAATGATATTCTATGGGTCTGAAATGGTCATGGTTTGACAGATCCAGTGATCACTAACTGTTTGGCCCCAGAGTAACCATGATAGACCCTTAGGTATGCATACCTGACGGTACCTCATCAAGTAGGAAGAACTGAATGGAAAAGGGTTCAGCATCATTTGCCCTTTTGATCCCTTTTGGAAATTTTGTATCTAAATAGATTCTGTTGGTACCTGACCATGCCATGCTTAAACATTGTTAGGTATGCTTATGACATTTGATGATAACTAAATAAACCTATCGTTGTGGGGTCTCAAGCAGTGTTGGTTGGGTAGATCCATTTATTATTGACTGATTCCCCCCCAACCTCACCATTACAGACCCTACCTCAGGGATCATGTCTGGAATTGTCTGGATTATCATTTTTTCGAAACATGCGCTGCGGGGGCGTTTGTCCCAGGATTCTCTGCGCGCCTTACTGAGAGTATGCGAAGGTGGTCTGACCATGTGTCCAAGCAGGGGGTCTACTTGGAGCTTGCTGACCTCTACTTGATGGCTACCTCGAAGAAGATGAAGCTGAAACTCTTCGTGTATGCTGCAGGCTGAGCTGGGCCAATGTATGCCATTTAGTCTTTAGGTGTTGTAATTTTCCCCAGGAAAGGCCAAGTTGATCTAGGTTGGAGGAGTGGGCAGCTTAATTGTTAGTTCTTCGGGGATCTACGAGGGTATCCATGTAATTCAATGTAGACCAGTGGCATATGGACCTTTGGGGCCTGAGGCAGTGTAGGCTGCGCCAAAAAGTTTGAACCGGAACAGTCGATGTTTGTACAAATTTTATCAAATTTTCATGTGAAGCCGGCGTGCAGGTGAAATGAAGGTTCTGGACGCCCGGACTTTCATCAACAGCAGCCTGGATGCTGATGCTGACGCAGAGCCTCTGGATGTCCCTACTGTCTACGCCGTGCATTGTACTGCTGACTTCAATGCAAAAAGGCCCTGGAGTGAATGCAACCATTGGGTTCCTGGATGGCACGTAGAGGATTTGGGCATGGATAGAGCCCGCCAGCTTCACAGGGAGCGGATGTCCTTGCAGCAAAGGCTACATGAAGATGCCATGCTTGACCTGCATGAACAAGAAATGAATGCTGTCATGGACCCTGACCTCCAAGCAGCCTTGAGGAATGACCTCCAGATATGCGAAGACAGATCTATGCGGTTTGAATTGATGTCTCACAAGCTCTTCCTCGAGCATGGGATCATCTTCCACGATGTAGTGGCTGATGGAAACTGTGGCATCGAGACTGTGGCTTGCTGGGAGAGGGTCCCAGAGATTTGGCAAACACCTGATGGTGACATGAAACGCCTGAGAGAGGAGTTGCAGTCTGCTTGGTTGTCCTCGATAGAGGTGCCCTACTGGCGCGGAGTGTTTCTGCACTACCTGTCTGGTGTGGCCTTGCCTGGTGCTCCGCCGCCACCAGCGGACAATCAGCCAGAAACCTCAGAGGCTGCTGAGCTGGAGGTCACCCCCCCAAAGCGCGACAGCAAGCGCGACTGCCCTTTTACTCCAGACCCTGTGGAGAAACGTGCTAAGCTGCTTCCAGATGAACAAGATGCGGAATGTGGTGTCCTGGTGGTGCCGGGAAAAGATGGTGAGCAGGCTCAGAAGAAGAGGCGTACTGGAAAACCCAAACCCATCGATACAAAGGTGAACTTCGAGACCTACCTTCAGCAATGGTTGTCGAGCAAGGGAATCATTTACAAAACCTGGGTGGCTGAGCACAAGAAGTGCTTTGTGATAGTGTTTCCTGGCTTAGATCTGGTCAGGCCTGTGGCTTTGGGGTCTGAGATGGTGATGGTTGAACAGATCCAGTGATCACTGACTGTTTGGCCCCACATTGACCATGATAGACCTTTAGGATCCTTTAGGTATATAGGATTCCAATGGATTCCATGGAGGTCTCTGGGGGAATGGTTTTAGAGTCAATTTTGGTTTCTTCTGAAAACCTTTTGATGCCTTTTGGAATGTTGATACCTAATATTTTTGTTGATCCACTGAATGGTTTCGGGGTCTGAAATGGTGATGGTAGGATCTATTTAGATATCATCGAGTGGTTGGCACAGGGATGACCATTATAGACCCTCAAGTATGGGTACCTGGTGGTGCTTCAAAGGGGAAACGGTTTCAACACCAGTGACTTTTTGGAAACTACGTATCTATCATTATTATTGCTTATGTTGATTACTCCCTCTTAAAAGTAGATGGCTCAGAATCTTGAGTTGCGTGGCACCAAGGCGTGGCACCAACTTCTGCCCAGATGGGAATTGGTCTGATTTCCAGAAGCTTATTGTGACTCGGTGTTGCCGCAGGGGGGCAGCAAATTGATTGTATCAAGCGTGCCGTGTGTTTTTTTTGTGATGGTTTGATATTGGATAAGTGGTTTACTCTATGGGGCCCCATGGATATCTCTAAATACACCCAACATGCACCAAATTTGCTGATATAAATTTCTGATTCTATGAGTGTTTGATCCCTAGCTTCTGGGTCTGAAATGGTTATGGTTGGATATGTTCGGTGATCATCAATTTTTAAGCCCCAGGGTAACCATTATAGACCCTTGACTGGTGGTACTGGATATGTAGTTCGCAATCCCAGAAAATATGGATTGGAAAAGAATGGAAAAGGGTTATAGACCCCTTTGGGCCCCTTTTATCCCCTTTGGAAATCTGAAGCATTTATTTGTTTCATTAATGATGTTTGACCCTTTCTGGTTTCATGATCTTCTACGAGTCTTTGACCCATGGCTTCAGGGTCTGAAATGGTAATGGTTGGATAAAGTCAATTATCACTGACTGTAAAGCCTCAGGGTAACCATTATAGACCCTTGATGGTGGGTACCTGGTGGTTCTTGGTCAAGCACAAAGATAGGTTCCTTTCCAAGGTTGGAATTTTAATGCGGCTCACAGTCTTCAGGCATATGTATACATAGAATTACGCTTAAGTACATGTATGATTGTTTTGGCTTCTCCAGCCGCCTGCTCAGGGCGTTGGAAAGTGGCCATCTTGCGCTGTCTGCTCTAAGAAGATGGAGGTGGCTGTTGGTACCAAGTTGGAGCTTTGCGCCGCAATGCGGGAGTTGCAGGAGAAGGTGGTTGATGATTTGGCACTTTTTGCGAAACGTTTGCTAGAGAAACCAGAGAAACCTCTCAAGCAGCTGAAGATTCCACAGCATGCAGCCTTGGAAGACCAGGATCCAGGTAGAGCCAAAGCGGAGCCAGGCGAGAAGGTGAAAGCGGAGCCAGGCGAGAAGGTGAAGGTGGAACAGGAAAGTGATGGTGAGGCTTCAGCTCATTTGGCCCTGGTAGAGGCCCCACCAGAGCCACCAGAGCCTTTTGACCCCTCAGCCTCCATGGCTGCAGAGGCGTTGATGACCAAGGCTGAGCTCGTTGCTCTGCACAAGTTGGTGAAGCTGGGGGCAGGTGAGGAGGGCAAGAGGAATGGCATGTTCTGCAGATGGTGCAAAGTTGCCTTCGAGGCTCGTAATCGAGCTAAAGTCTTTCAGCACGTGCGTAGCCAACAGCATCGGGCAAAGTTTTTTGCTTCTATCAAGAAGGAGCCCACCCCTCCTGCTCCGGTCTCTGAAGCCACAGAGAGTGTCCGCAAAGATGTTTGCCATGGAATTTCATTGAACGGTTCTTTCGGCAAAAAGACTCGCCTTGGCAGTGATCTACGGCCGGTCTGGGACGAATTTGTCCAATATGCTGAGCTCTCAGAGGCTTCAAACATCAATGGGATGGCTACTCACCGCATTGTGCGTCTTTGCCAGTCGGATGATTGGAGGTTGCAGCACCGAACGTGCTTTGAGGGCAACTCCAATGGGCCTGTAGCCGTTCCAGTCAGTGTCGGTGCCGATGGTGAAGCTGTTTGCTCTTCATGCTTGCAGCTTGGAAATTGCAGGCGTCTTTTGCAAAGAGTGACAGATTTTGTGAAAGACCTCGACATGGTGCGGCTCTTATTCAAGTTGATGTTTGCCGCCGACAAGGCTGAGGAGTTCAAGGAGAGCCTGACCTCCAAGGCGATCTACACTCGGCGGTGCAAAGTGACCTACGATGCTTTCCTGAGCATGTCCGGCCCAGAGCTTCACACCAAGGTGAGAAACGTATGGTACGGCAAGCAGGGGGTGAAATCCACCGAGGCAATGAAGCACTTCATGGAATCCACTTTCTTTCCTTGCTTGGATTGTGACCCCAGCAACCCAATGAAAAGCTCGTTGCTGGACAGCCTCATGAAGTACATGCGATGCGAGGAAAGTGCAGACGTCTTAGAGGCAGACTTGCGCATGGTGCGAGCCATCGTGACTGGCTCTTTGAATCATCACCCGGCCATACATGGCCTGGTGGTGGCATGCATGAACAGGGTGACCAAAGAGGAGCGAGGGAACAGCACGTTCCGTGATGCACATCGTGGCTTGGACTTGATGATTTTAGACAAGCAGCAGGGGTGGATCCCTCAGGGTCAAAAATGGTTAATTATGGTTGAAATTCAGAATCTTTGATTATCATTTTAGAACTCTCACTGCGCGTCATGATGCATCGTGATCTATCTGCATGTATCTGCATGTTCCTGATTATGCCGGTGTATTGGAAGTAGTTTGGAGGTCTGAAATGGTAATGGCTGGATGTATTCAATTATCAGTGACTATTTAGCCCAAAGATAACCATTATAGACCCCAGAAGGTGGGTACCTGGTGATTTTTAATCATCCATCAAGATATGAGTGGGGATCGAGTTCTAGACCAAATATCCCTTTTGGAAATAATGTACCTCTGATTACCATTGAATATTTGTTTGCATCTACACGCACCATGATGTTTCTGCATATTTCTGATGTTATGATGCTTTAGGATTGTTTGATCCTAGTTTGGGGGTCTGAGATGGTAATGGTTGGATATATTCGATTATCACCGACTATTTAGCCCAAAAATAACCATTATAGACCCCAGGAGGTGGGTATCTCAGGGTACCTGATGGTACTGTGAATGAGAGAAGGGTTCACCAGGATTGATTAGTTTTGAATTTTGATTACCATGATGTATGTTGGGCTCATGTTGGGTCTGAAACGGTTATTGTTGGATATGTTGAGTTGTTATGAATAACTTGGCCCCAAGGTAACCATTATAGACCCTTGATGGTGGGCACCTGATCTCTCTGATGATCACTGATGTATGGTTCTGAGGCGACCCTCGTGAGCTCCAACTGTTGCACGAAGCAGGTGCAGAACTTTCTGCATGGGGAGCGAGCCCTGGATCATTGTCCTTTTTCGGCCTACGGTGGAGTGAACTAGAGAACAGGCGGTCTGTTCTGGAGAAGATTCCTTTGTGGGGCCTGCCGACTTTCATGTCGCCATCTGCAGAGGTCTTGAGGGACAATGAACATTTGATCAGTATGGTGTACCCACGTGCTGAAGGAATCCCTTACCGAAGGTTGTGCATGGCCTATGATCGCACTTATTTGCTTTCAACGTGGCAGTTGCTCCGCACCAACATTGGAAACTGGCTGGTGGGGGGGGCCCACAGGCCATCCGGCTTTCAGGCTGAGGACGAATCTTACTTCGTGCTTCAGAGGGAGAAGGGAGAGAAGCAGTACCACATCAAGAACTGCACCAAAGCCAATGAATTGGAGGCCTTTGTTTGCTGGGATTCGACCCGGATCGCCAGCCCCACCATGGAGCTGGCATCCTTTCCTTGCACTTCCTCTGCCACCCGCCATGCTGAGTTTGAGGCTGGCATGAAGGATACAAGCCACCAGCGGGGAAAGTTCGAGAATCTGCATCGTTTGGGATTTGTGCTGGACGCTGCAAGAAGCGTGCGATTCCTTTTGGCTGACAGCCATGCAAGCCACGAGTGGAGCCATCGCTTATTGCTGGGGCAAACCATCGAATTGCCAGATGCTTTCCTTTCTGAGATGGTGTTCTGGAAAGACCTCACTTTCCACCCTTTGCCGAGAACAAAGCACCATTTGGATTACCGCCTCGTCAAAGTGAGTGGAGAACACTTCGGGTACCTTCCGGGTGTGGCGCATATCCAAAAAAATGCCGTAGAGCAGCTGAGGTCGTCACTGCGTACAGTTCACTTCGGCAAGTTGCCATGCGATGGCTCAGCCATGCTGGCTTTGGGGATGTGGCCCGCATCCTACATAGGATCAGATACCATGTCTGATCAGCAAGCGGCGTTGTGGTCCCTTGAATGTGTTTCAAGCATTTGGTTTTTGTGAATAATGGACCTCGTTGTTTTCGGGGTCAACGCCCCGAGGCGGGCGTGGTTTTTTTTTTCCACGTTTGTGCTCTTTGGCAGTATACGTGTTTAACGCTCTTGCCGACTGTAAGATGACGCTACCGAAGACACGTTGCCCAACTTTGTTGCTGACGTCTTGCTACCTTGACCGGGAGGGGGGGTGGGGGGGGATGATAACGTTCCTTTCGACTGTAAGATGACGCTACCGAAGACACGTTGCCCAACTTTGTTGCTGACGTCTTGCTACCTTGACCGGGAGGGGTGGTGGGGGGGGGGATGATAACGTTCCTTTCGACTGTAAGATGACGCTACCGAAGACACGTTGCCCACCTTTGTTGGTGACGTCTTGCTACCTTGACCGGGAGGGGTGGTGGGGGGGGGGATGATAACGTTCCTTTCGACTGTAAGATGACGCTACCGAAGACACGTTGCCCACCTTTGTTGGTGACGTCTTGC